GTCCTCTTTGAAATTCCCCCCTCTTTCAGTATTTGGAATTACATTATCTCCTCTAAATCTTTCTATTTCTTTGGCCCTTCCTTCTTCCATTTCTTAGATGTTGGTATCCTCCACCCCAGCTTCAAATCTTATTCACTTGGCTGTGTAAGAAGCTCCCTGGTGGCTTCAAATCCATATGCTCAGTCCTAATGTCTTTTAACTAAGTTTTCCTAGTGAATGACATCACCATCTACCTGATTGTCCAAGACAGAATCCTGGATGAGCTCAAATTTATCACTCCCACATGCATAACCAATTTTGAAGTCATGTCACTTTAATCTAAGCATCTCTGGAATCTGTTCTATCTTCCCAGTCTCTCTGCAACCTGCTTCATCCAAGTTGTTATCTCTCCTCCAGAACATATTACTATAAAAAGAATGACAATTAAGCACATGCAAGTAAAATATTTGGCAGCTCTACTTATAAGAAGCTAAACAAGTGATTCAAAAAAAATCAAAGAACGCTGGAATTCTTTTTAAGAATAATGCTGTATGAATATAGGCAGATCGTTTAATCATCAGGAGCTTGAGATTCCCAGATGTCCACTGAGGAGTGAAAGAGATAAATCAAGGACCCTTTGAACCCCTGACATTCACTGTCTGATTCTGTATCCTCCAGACATCACAGATAGTTCATACCTCCAAATAGACACTGTATTTGTGACATATGTAAGCTCTTACTGATGCCAAAAAGAACAGGCTGATTTGTCTTCTTTGATGCCAAAATATATCAAGCACACACTGATTCCCATCACTTTCAAAAATGAAACTTTCAATTGTAAATGTCAAAGAAATAAAATGTAAGCAAAAGAAAAAGCTAAGATGAAATTGATTATGAATATAAAAATGCTATTTGAAAATATTTTTTTCAGGAACCAAGCAACAGAGAGTAATGAGTTAGCAGCAAAATAAGTACCATAAACCATTCTGACAGCCACTAACACTATGAACAAAAAGTTCTTCCTACTCATAGAATGCTTGCAGGGTGGGAATTGTGTATTACTGAAAATCAAACACAGAACAATATATATGCAACATAAAATCATAAAAGTTTCAGGCCCTGCTTTTCAAAGACCAGGTTCTCAAAGAAGGATGAGAACTAAGCTGTGAAAATGTGGTATGGATTTGATATAAATATTGTCCCAATCAAATGGGAGGCACTTGATACTCTGGTGAAAATTTAGATCTAGTTGTTCTTCTACTGCTTAGGAAGGTCAGAAGTAATCTTCCATTTTAAAGAGAGTATAAAATGAAGACAGAAGAAGAGTGTGGCAAGCAAACAAGCTATCCTACAAGGCTGACACTGAAGCACCTAACAATCAACGAACTCGGGAGCCAGAGAGCCCAAGTTCAAATCCTAACTTTAGCCAGTGTATTTTAATAATCCACTTAGTTTCCCTGTGTCTATTTCCTCATCTATAAAATGGGAACAAAACACGTACTTTACAGGTAAAATGCAAAGAACAATGCATGACTTATGTAAACACCACAGAAGTATTAAGTAATATTATCATTATTATCTGTAATAGTTTTTCCTACCTACAGTCAGTGTATGCTGACTTGAGTTTAACAATGTGCACCATGTATTTTGTTCATAGTTCAAAACCAATGTCATCTGAGTTGATAGCTCCATTCCCAGAGCTCACCTTCAAATCACCAAACACTTAGTTCATATCAGATAAATATAAAGAAGCACACTCCAACATGCCTTAAAAGTATAGCATTTGGTTCATCCATACAATGGAATATTACTCAATTTTTAATGTAGTTCTGGCATATAACACTGATGAACTTTTAAAACATTACACTAAGGGAAATAAGCCAGTCACAAACCCTACTTTGCTTCATGAGGTCCTACATGAGGACCTAAAATAGGTAAACTCAGGAACAGAAAGTAGGACAGAAATTACCAGGAACTGGGGAGAAAGAGAAATGAGAAACTGTTTTGAGGAGTAACAGGGTTTCTCTTTGGAATGATGAAAAAGTTCTGGAAAAGGATAATGCTGATTATACTATACAACACTAGGTAGGTATGCACTTAGTACCATTTAAATGTGTACTTTTTACCACAATGAAAAGAATTGTGGGACCAGGCATTTAGCTCAGCAGCATAAGTGACTGCCTGACAAGCATGAGGGCGCCAGTTCGATCCCAGGTACCAAATAAAAGAATCATTTTTACAAAGTACAGCATGTATTTTGAACAGAAAGTTGTAACATAAATATCAGCCATAATGGCAAGGATAGACTTCTCAGTCTTATGTTTGCAACTATGGACACCAAAGGAGTCAATGTCAACACTTAGCTGACTTGGGTTAAAATACACACCCTGAAATGTGTACATACCTTGTCAATTTTATGAGCACATTATTTTTTCTTGTTGACATAGCAACTTTTAAAATTTTTTTAATGGGAGAGAAAGAAAACTATACCGAAGAAATACGTTTATGTGTGTCAGTGCATAAGTGGTGTCTTTTTTAAAGGAGATACTTTTAACAAAAACACCATTGGAAAACATATGGGTAATACAGAATCATCATAAGATGAGGGCAATACTGTACTTTTGTAGAGGTTTCCATGTACTAGCACATCATAATTTAAACCACTGAAATAGCCACCAAATTCAAAACAGAAATTAAAAGTCCATTATTGTGACACACATAATAAAAGTGCAACAATTTAAATCTTCAAACACTTCAGTCAAAGCATTTATTGCATAATGAAGACACAACAAAAGTGAGTAAGTATTTTCCCAGAATGGCTTGGGATGAATTATTTGTTAGATTAATTATCTAGTAAACTGGTAATTACCATATATCAAATACCATTCAAGGAACAACACTTTTTAAAGAATCAGAATGTAACTTTCACAGACCTAAAGCCTAATAATATTAGCAAACACTCACCTGGCCTTATCAACAGTCTGGCGCTGTTCTAAACTTTTCACACACATTAATTCATTCTATCCTCACAACAAATATGAGTACTCTTATTATCCTTGTTTTACAAATAAGAAGACCTAATGTGTAGAGGGCCAAGTACCCTATCCAGAGTCACTGCACTGCTAGTAAGTGACAGAGCTAGAATTTAAAATCTAAAAGTCTGGTGCTGCACTCCATCGTTTTAATCACTATGCCTTCCTATCTGTTGTGACAGTGAAGAATAGACTACAGAAAAATGGGCAAATTCAAAATGCAGAGCAGTTTGGAGATCAAATAAAATACTCTGAGGAAATCATCAAATTACAACACAGGACAATAAACGATGTTTATGATTGCATAAGAGAAAGCTAAATCTGTTCAATATGAGTACAGCTGAAGAAAGCAAAAAAAGAGTTTAGTACATTTAAAATTTTCCATTGTGTCAATATGATTTTCATTTCTCAAGAAGTTCCAAACAGCAGGCATTTAATGAGCAATCTTATTTGTCATTTATCTTATTCTTTTTTTTTTCTTTTTGTCTTTTTCGTTTTTATCGGTACCAGGGATCGAACTCATGACCTCACACTTACTTACAAGGAAGGTGCTTATGCCGCTGAGCTAAATCCCCAGCCCCCATTTATCTTATTCTTAAAGGTGGTGTGTGGGGGTCACAAATAAAGATTTCTAGATGTTTTACTTCCTCAAATATAAACATACTGAAAAATAAGTGTCAAGACACTTGGATAGACAAAATGAACAAAAACATATTATGTATAACTACTATGAAAAAGCCTAGAATTTGATTACTTCTAGTAATTTTAAAAAACAAGAGAAGTGCAGCTTTTATATAGATCTGAATTTAAATCATCCCCTTGCCATTTCGTTAGTGTGAATTTTCAGCAAGCCAATCTCATATAACGGAGCCTTGAGTCTTTTTTCTGTAAATTTGAAATAATAATTCCTGACTCACAAAACTGTTGTGTGGGTTAAAGAGAAGACATATGTCAAGCGCTGCACACCAGCCCTGAGAAACAGCAGATGATCAACAACAATCACTTTCTACTCTAAGTATTGGAAGCACCTCTATCAATTAGTAAATCATGGGAAGGCGTCTCAGAAATCCTGTACATCCAGTACAATGTACTCTATTCAAAAAGGGATCATCCTAATAATACATGAAAAAAAAACTCAGAATTTTGATTTCTTATCTCATCTACACAGCATCTACTCTGGCTGGTTTTGAAATGACCCATATTATTCCTTTATCAACAATATGCAGCCTGTTACCTTATCGATCTCACCAGTCCCACCTCGAGAAATGTTATTTATTTATTTTGAAGGCTGCCTTTGCAGAAATGTCATCGTTATTTGGAAACCAAAAAGAATGTGAGCCTTTTAATGAAGTGCTATTTACTGTTCCGTGCATCTCAAGTTGATTGGCTATCAAGTGAATCACTATCACAATACATGTTCATATTATTGCACTGACACTGCCGCCGCCACCGCCACCCCTTTACCCTCAGCGCCCGCGGACACAGGGATTAACAGGCAACACTCTCGGCTGACAGAGACGCAGTGTTCTGTCAGGGACACCGAACCTCAAAGCGCGGAGCCCTCAATAAAGATTCTGGAGGAGAGAGGGGAAGGAGGAGAGGCTTCACTGCAGGTGGAAAGGAGCAAAATCAGAACTCGTCTGCTCAAACCAGACTGGGGACGAGCCCTGTGCGGCTGGGGAGCACAGCCGGGTGGGTGAGGCGGGCCTGCAGGGCAGAGGAAGAAGGCTGCGGCACGGGCTTAAGGAGAGGACAGTCAAAGCCCTCGCCATCCCGGGCGTTTAGGTGCTGACAAGTGGCTGCTCCGCCTAGTTCCCAGCACGGGTTGCAGCCCCGTAAGTCTGGGAGCACTGGGAAAGGAAAGGGTCCCCGCTGACACAGAGAAGGTGAGGCCAGGGCCAGGAACCCGGCCGCCTTCCGAACTGGATACTGCTGCCCCGCGGTACAAAAAGACAAAGGCAGGGGTCCAACCGCCAGCATGTAGGTTACCTGTCTTAGCAGACTGCCCACAGGTCTCCACTTCCGCGGACTCCGGGTTACTACGGGCTACCAGGCACGCGCCTAGTGACGTCATCCACGCGCGCCCTAGGCAAAGGAGCCCTGTCCCTCGGGAAGGCGGGGGCGCCAGGGGAGGTCTGCGCAGGCGCGGGGCCGCTGCAGGCCTGAGGTGGGGCTGGGGCTACGGTATCTGGGTGTGCACCTGCTTCGAATTGTAAAATCTCTTGGGTAATTAAAAAAAAGTTATCGAAATAGGAGTGTGCACGTTTTGTTAGTCTCTTCCGCTTCTGCTGCATAAGACTTCACATAGTCGTTTCACCACTGTTTTTAAAGCTCCCACTACGTGCCGGGCCACCGCTGTTGCACAATGGGAGGGTGCGGCAGGTGGCGTACGCATTTAAGGGGAGTATTTTCTAGTTGAGAAAGCAAACGTGAAATAATAAAGATTTATACTCTGTACGTGCGTTCTTAGAGATAAGAACTGTGTGCAGAGAAAAGATTAAACTTGGAAAACTAAAGGAAGGCAGTTGCCTCTTCCGCCAAAGTGCCCTCTGCAGAGGCGCATTGAACTGGAGCAGGAGGCAGCGGCCCTGGGTGACCCGCGGGAAAAGCCTCGGGAGAAGGGTTTAGAGTGCCGTAGCGGTGCCATCGGGAAAGCAGGCCAGATTAGTAAGGCCAGGAGAGTCCCGAGTTTGCAGAGCCTGTCTGGGCTGTTGTAAAGAGCGCGGATTCTGTCTCAGCTGCATTGGGAAACCAGTGGAGCGTGAGCGACAGGATCTAGTTTTTTAAGAGCACCTACTGGCGTTTGTATATGAAAAACGAGGCCAAAAAAAAAAAAAAAAAAAAAAAAAGGATGCAGAAAGGCCAATTGCTTTTGCAAAAACCACATAAGAAACGAAGGAGGAGATCCTCTGGTATTGAAGACATTACATATGATTATCTGCACCAGTCTTATATAATCCGTGTAGAGGCAAAAGGAGCCAGAGGCCAAAAAGGTTTTTTTTGTTTGTTTTTTCCTGTTATTTCTGAGCCCGTTGGCTTTTTAAAATTAAGTTTATTGGTACATTTTAGATATACATAATGATCATATTCATCATAGGGAATCTGTAACTGTACGTACATGATATATCTTGATTTTTTTTTTTTGAACCTGTTGACTTTTAGCAGATACAGTACTCATTTTCTCTGGCCCTCAGATGATTTATGCAAAAAAAAAAAAGGAGATAAGACTGTAACTCTATTTTATGTCAAATATCAATTTGAAAAACTGAATAAAATAATGCCTTTGAAGAATAAAACAACAAATGGTTAAAAGAAATGAACAACTTTAAGGACTAGAGGTAAGATGTGACAGCTGTAGAGATGGATTAGATACGGATGATAAAGAAAAAACTGTTAAAAATGACTCCTAAATTTTTCATTTTTATTTTAAAGGGAATACAATCAAGCAAAACAAAACAGAACAAAGCCAACCAAAACAAACCAGTGTAAGTGACACAGGACTTCAAAACAGTAGGAAATCAACAATGGTCACCATAATGCCCCCTGCTGTCTTCAAAATAGCTGCAAATACCTTCAGATATAATAAAAATCAAACAAAATAGAAGAGAATAGAACCAACAAAAACAAAACAAAGAATGCAATAAAGGACTTCAAATCAAGATAATAGTAAATCCAAAATAGCCACCATAATATATCTTGTTATCTTTGAAACAGCTGCCCATGCCATTGAATACAATAAAATCAAACAAAACAAAACAGAACAAAACCTAACCCAACAAAACAATGAAAGTGATACAAGACCCAAAAACAAAACTATAGGGAATCAACAGTGGCCACCACCCTCAGAAGGAGATCCTGCATAGATGCTACACTGAGTATTGCCATTCTCTGAATCGATGATCAGACCACCAGCTTTAGGCCTGCAAAGTCAGTGAAACACTAAACACTACAAATGTTAAATTGTATTCTACCTCAGTAGCCATCATCGAAGCCTGTGTTCACCAGATCAGCCTGTCTGCTCAGAGGGTGGGGACGTGGTGTGGGTGTTGCCTCTTCTTGTTTCCCAGCCCTGGCTCCAGAAAAGGCTGGCCTCTGGCTCTGTCCGCAGTGGCCCACATGACACCAATTCACTGGGAGGGCTTGCTTCTTGGTGACTTCTTGTTCTCTTCCCCGGCATTCTGCGAATGGTCTGACTCCTAAATTCTGTATAAGCAAAACAGCTTATAGTGAGACACAAACGAGATTTGTTCCTCCTCTTTTACTTTCTCATCACCAACCCTCTATGTTCTCCTCATTCACCTCTTTACTTATCACCCTTAACTTCCACCATGGTACCCCTCTTTTTTCCCTCGTCTTTAATGCTTCTCTCTTGACCCACCTGTGCTGTGTCAGAGACTTTAAATCTTAAAGCCTTTAGCTGTGCCATTAACATAAAGGAGCGAAGTCCATGGATGGATTATGGGGAACTAGAGTTCTTGTCCCTACTCAGCTTGCATTAACTTTTGCCAACCAGGAAGCCAACTCAGTAATGCTCTCACTTTTAAAGAGAAATAAATATAAAAATACCAACTCATATTTTGTTAAAACTTGTGTTTGGACCAAATAAAATGCATTGTGCTGGCCAAAGGAGGCTGACAGGTTACTACTCTGCCTCCTAGGTGGGTATTTCCCCCAAGTGGTGGCTTGGTTCTATCACTTGTGCCTATCACTGGAAGCTGACAGCTCTCAAATTCATCCCTCCATTCAAACCTTTAAATTTTTTTAATTTCAAATACCCCGATCCCACTTCTGTCCAGCTGGCATTTAAAAAACTAAGCTCATCCTCTACCCGCATCTTCTGCATCCTGTCTCAGTCATGACGTTAAAATCCTCCCACTTACATAAGCTAGGATCATCCCAGACTTGCCCTTCTCCCTCCTGACACAGTTGAATTGAGATTTATCACATCTGTAGAACAGAAAAAAATGAGAAAATTTAGTAATAGAAAAATTGAAATTGGCTCTAGAAAAATGCTTTTTATTGATGAAAATCACTGACGTAAGTGTAATTTTGATTTAAATGCTTATGTTCACATACACAAAATCAGACTTCAAGATGAGGATGTTCCTGCCTTTAAAAAGGTTGATACTAGAGTTCTTGCATACACTGAGGGACTTCATGGAAAATGGATATTCAGTGAGATAGGAGCTGTATTTTCTAAACATTATCGTTTTTTGTTTGTTTGCTTGTTTTTTGAGACAAGGTTTCACCCTGCAGTTTAGGCTGGCCTTGAACTCACTTTGTAGCCCAGGCTGGCACCAAATTTGCAGCAATTCTCCTGCCTCAGCCTGCCGAGTACTGGGGTCACAGGCATGTGCCCCCATGCCCAACTCAAGATGCTATCTTCTATAAACACTGCTCTGGAAGTATTTATGGCAAACCAAGTCTCAGTTATGTTTATTTTCCCTAATCAAGCAACAGTAAAAAAAATTGTTTATAGCTTGCCTCAAGCTGGAGTAGGGACCAGCTACGGGTGCCACAAGCCAGAAGGATGTCATTTTCCACTCTTCAGCAGCTTTGAAAATTTTCCAACATGACTCAACGCTGGCAAAGAAGGGCAATTTTAAACTTCAAATATTTGCTCTTTCTCAATACTATCACAAGACGGACATACAATAATTTGAACCAATACTCTGTGTTTCCCTGGGTGCCGATAAACTATGAATCAGAAGAATTGGACCTGACTCTTCCAGGAAACTTCAGGCCAAAGCCAATTGGTGCTTTGAATCCAAAGAAAGCTGTGTTTTACACAGAGCCTGTGATTCCTGGGAAGATGAGCAAAGCCCGCCCTAGCACTGTAATACACATTGTTAGCAGGGATGTCTGCCTTATCCTGGCTTGTTCTAAGCAAACCTTTCACCACCTTCTTCCTTAATGAGAAGGATGGAAAATTTGACCATCCAGAGGGAACCTTCTCACCCACTGCAAAGTCTTGGAGAACCAGTCAGACCCTTCTGATGCAGAGAAACTAGCACAGAGTTCTACTACCTGCCAGAGACATTGTCAACAGTAACGGATATCATCTTGGTGTCAGAGAAGATGTAGTAGTAACTGATGGTGATCTTTCCCCTCAGGCAAAAGACCCTGAAGATTGCAGGAATCAATAGATGTTTATTTTGAATCGGAATCCAAGCTACTAATGAAGATCCTTCTCTGGTAAAGACTGAAAGTTCACTAACCTTAAATGGACATTAGAGAAAAATAAAGCAATTTTCTTTAGTATCTCCTGAAAAAAAATCAATACCTCACAGGTCCAAAGTAACAGGAGTTGACATCTTGTATTCACTCAGTGACTCTTGAAACTCTCCAGTTTTTCAGTTCTAAAACTCATATTTATTCATGCCACAAGCAGACATACTTCCCTACAGTCTAGTGTAACTGAAATATTATAGCATGGTTTTGAATACGATTTTCATTAATGACACTATTTCCCGCCCCCCTATGCTCTTAGCTCCGTGAAATATATTCGTATCTCCCAGCAAAGCTTAGTGGAGTGGAAACAATTTCAAAATAATGTCTGGCAGGCTTAGGTGGACAAAGTCCAGTAGAGAAGGGGATGACAGAGACTGCTGGCTGTCTCTCACTATCCAATCTCTTTTTCTTCACTGTAGTAAAACCACCAAATTGTAGGTGGTCGACTGTTTTTATTTTAACTGAGCATATAACCACCCAGAGGAAAGACAATGTTTTTGGCCACCATGCAGCCAACTGTAGCCCTGTCACCACGTGCTAGCTGCTGGCTACAGGAAAGGTATAATGTGACAACTGTTTTGAAAAACAGATAGGGCATACATTTGTCTTTTTCTCCCATCCTCTTCCCGTTGATTGGGATGAAGATGTGCTGGCTACTTACAGAGTAGCCATCTTGGATCATAAGCCAATCTTTGAAACCCTGTGGGAAAGGAACAAGGTAAGAGTCTGAGACTCTGAAGAGTTGTGTTTTGTTGTTCTTAAGATTTTACTGGTGTGTGTGTGTGTGTGTGTGTGTGTGTGTGTGTGTTTTGAAACAGGGTCTTCCTTAGTAGTTCAGGGAAGCCTCTAACTCACA